TCACACATAACAGATCGGCCTGACACACGATAACCAATCGCACCCGGTGTCATCTCAGTTTACCGGATAAATGTGGTGAATTCAAAAGTGTGAGATAAAATATCACAAATGCATTGCAAATCATTCCCATTGAGGAAGCCAGGAAAGTCCACATAAGTAGCGTACATCATCAAACAACGGATTCACTGACAGTTTAAGATTATGAGCTTTGTCAACGTCTAAAAAAACCCATCCGACACTTCTAACTTGGTTAAGATTTCCATCGAAAGATCCAAACTAACCAGTCAACTCTCCTGATCTTCATATACATTGAGACGTTTTAGAAGAGCCAATTAACTGGGTCTGTGAGTTGCGATCATGCTTAAATATTTTAACCAGTTTCGCCTAATTAAAGTGTAAACGAACCTCAGCTGATATTTCTACGTACCAGTTTTTTTCTGTTCAGCTGAATCATACGGTCTACCTTGTCATAAAAGTCAAATACTGTATTCGTTCTGGCAAGTGAAAATTCAAGACAAGTCCCCGGAATGTATACTAATAAGAGCAGAAAATTTACAAAATTTGGAGAAATGGTCTCCGACCTTGCAAATTGGATTCCATGGCCAGCTTTTACTCAAGTGTAGCTGCCATTCCAATTGCTAGCATCGGTGATAACATCCGGAGCATATCTCGCACCTTTGCCGGTGATGGGATGTTGGTGTTTGATATTGGTTGTTCCTCACATTAGGGAGGCTAGTACCCCGTTTCGTCTATTATTGAGCCACCAAATCCTTGCTCATCTATCAAGCCAGTAAGTTTGGAAGATTTTCATCTGCGTTCAGATTTGGACTGAAGGCTAGCCACTGCATGGTCTTGACCCCGAGGAATAGTGTACAGCAGTTCGTAATGTATGGAAGTAGCATTTCCGAGTTGTAATAAAATGCGATATTGTAATCGTATGAATAAAAGCCACGAGGAAGTATATGCCTCCAAAATAACGTACTCATGAGGTCTATACTCTGGCCATCACTTAACTCATACTTGTTATTCAAATGAATATACATGGCTAAGCACTAGATCATCTAACTCTGTTTTTGTCACTGAAGTGGACAGTTACCTCCTTCACTATCGTTATG